GGGGGGGAAGGGCAGGGTTGGGGGAAAAGAAAATGGCCCGGGGGCTTGGAGGGGAGACAGGATCCATGCAGACAGGACTCCCCTGCCCCGAATTCCTCCTCTCCCGCCCTCCCCCAACCCTCACTCTTGCACCCTCCCATCCTCAAGGCCCTGCTCTGACTTCTGCACACATACACACCCACACCATCAACCACCTGCCCTGAAGGACCCAGGCAACACCGGGTAAGTCTGCTAGTGTTAGGATAAAATTTTAGCCCAACTGAAGTCAATGGAAATTGCCAAATTTGGTCCTATACTAATAAGGGTAAAGTTTTCAAAATGACTGGTACAGTACTTAAGAACTGCTCTCTCATCAAAAGTCTGAACAACCCCGATGTCTGCTAACATTTGGATCCAGAGATGCATATTTTCACTCAGCCCATTTCATTATTGCACTGATCAGAATGTTTGGATCCAGAATTCCAATTATATGCATGCCTACATTTCAAACCATGATTCCCAACATACAGCCATGCCAGATTTAACTTGTCATTAGCTTTCACGAAGAGTACACATTCTTAACTCTATCCCACTATTTTCCACACCCAGCAGAAAAGCTACCTAAATCCATGTTTGGTGAGTTTACACAATAAGCCATGTGTAGAGTTCTATCATAGATACATCTATTGGTTCTCCCTTTACTCTAGCCCAATGTTAAATGTACTTCTATTTGACAGTGTTTCATCTTTCATAAATTCATGCTGGCTCATACCTATTATGTTACCTCTACCAAAGAGTCATCAGCTTGTCAATTTTCACATTCCTGTGTGAATCATAAATTCATAAGCAATTCAAAAATATGTAAATTCCAAAGAGTTAATGTATATAAAATGCTATAAAAAACAAGATCTAAAAAACAAAACCTGTCTTGAACTTCTTTACCTTCATTAGAAATTTCCTTCCAGGGGTTTGGTGGATACATAAATGCTGCATTTTGAATTTGGTCATTTATATCTTCATCCTCATTAAATGGGAATGTACCACTAAGGCTCACATAGACAATAACTCCCACTGACCACATATCCAGAGAGCGATTGTAACCTTTACTCCTGAGCACTTCAGGAGCAAGATAAGCTGGGGTTCCAACAACAGAGCGCCTGAAAGACTTTTCACCTATGATGCGTGCGAAACCAAAGTCACACAGCTTCACCTGTAAATAAATACAATACTGTTAAATGACAAATATCCGGTATATTTCTCAGATGAGCAACTGTCCAAACAAAAGTATGATATCTGGCATTGTATTTCACATCATTTAATTAATGCTTGCCTGGATAAAGGGAAGCAAAACATTACATTGCTACTCTTCATTTGGTCCTATTCCTTCAGCAGTGTGTCTCCTTTACATACTTGACTCTGGAAACTTATCTAACTTGAGAAAAACCATAATGGAACGTGTCGAGGCAGCACATGCACCCTTGGCTGCCTCCTGATGGCAAAAAGGATGGAACCACCCCAATTCCTTCACCCACCTTCAGTTCCTCCTCACAGGAGAGACTCTGTTATAGAGGGGAAGAAGGAGGGGAGGGCATGGAGTGGATACTTACATCTCAAAGAACAGTTATACAACAGTTTTGTAACCATTTTATCATTTTTGAGTGATTGCACATGTTCATTTCACTTCAGGTGAATCACAAGCAGTTCAATCTAGAGGTGCATTTCAGAGTTTACCTAAAAAACAACTGTTATTGTCTCCTCTTGGGCCCCTGGCATTTGTTTCTCTTCCACCCTGCCCCTTGGTGCCTTCCCCTTTCTTCTCCTGCCCTGACCCTTCCTCGCCCCTTCACTCCCCCCTTCCTGACACCGGCACCGCTCAACCCCCTTGTGCCAGAGCCAATGCTGTTATCATATTGTTTTATTCTGTGTATTATAAATAAACAATTCATGGGGGAATTTCCTATCCAGCAATTTCATCACTAAAATGTACAGAGGCAGGAACAAGATCAATTTTCCAACCTGGCTTAACATTACTCCCACAGATATCCTAGGGCTGGCAGCCGGCATTCAGTGAGCCCCTCAACAAGACATAAATAACAAAGTACACCCAAGCCTGAAGTAAGGAAAGGAAATCCCGCTGGCAAAGTGTCCCTCTCCCTGAGCACAGGCAGGGAACGGCCCCGGCTGCCAGTGCAGAGTGGCCAGTCCCACTTGGGGCAGAGTGCTGAGCACCCTGCACACTGGAGACCCCTGGAGAAGAGGTCTGTACTGAGGAGCTCACATTGGCCACCGAGAGCCGCTGTTGCTATGCAGGGACTGCAAATGCTGAGAACTCTGGGTGCGGGGAAGGTACAGCGCTCTCCTCGCACCCGAGTTAAACCTCTGAAGACAGGCCACAGCCACCAGGACATGCCCTGCACATCAGAGAGCAGGAAGCGGCAGACACCACCAGCAGCCTGCCCCCCCAGAGGCGAGTCTCCATGTGCCGGGACTGGAGTCAGGGCCGCAGTGCTATTTTTAGTACCACGGCCCAATCTCCAACTCTGGCAGCCGCCCCACTAATTCTGGGGTGGGCCACCCACCACTTGGCATGTAGTCTAGCCATACCCCAACATTCCACATTAAGACAGATTACAGGCTGTCAGGAACACCAACCCACATGACACCACTGCACTCCTGGTTACAGAGCTCTGTGACTTTGTCCTCACCCACAATTACTTCTGAGTCGGAGACAATTTGTATCTCCAAGTCAGCGGCACGGCCATGGGCACTCGCATGGCACCACAATATGCCAACATCTTTATGGCTGACCTTGAACGTTTCCTCAGCTCTCAACCCCTACCACCCTTCTCTACTTACGCTACATAGATAACATCTTCATCATATGTATCCATGGAAAAGAGACCCTTGAAGAATTTCATAGGGATTTCAACAACTTCCACCCCACCATCAACCTCAGCCTGGATCAATCCACACAAGTGAGCCACTTCCTTGACATTACAGTGCAATTAAATGATGGACAAATTTCCACCACTCTATACCAGAAACCTACCAACCTACCAACCGCTAGCTTTCTTACCTTCATGCCTCTAGCTTCCATCCCAGACACATTTCTCAATCTATTTTATACAGCCATGCCCTAAGATACAACCAGATTTGCTCTGATCCCACAGACAGAGACAAACACCTATGGGATCTATACAGAGCATTCATAAAACTGAAATACCCACCTGGAGAAGTGAAAAAACAGATCAACAGAGCCAAAAAAGTACCCAGACATGAACTACTTCAAGACAGGCCCAAAAGAGAAAACAACAAAATTCCACTTGTCATCACCTACAGCCGATAATTTAAACCCCTCCAACGCATTATCAACAATCTACAACCTATCCAGGAAAACGACAGGCCTTCGGAGAAAGGCCAATCCTCACCTACAGACAACCCCCTAACCTCAAACATTCTTTCCAGGAACCATGTAACACACCTCCATCATAATCACACAATCAGCCCCAGTGCCAACTCTGCCCACACATCTACACAAGCAATTTCATCACTGGATCCAACATCAGCCACTACATTAGGAGCTCATTTAACTGCACATCCACTAATGTGATCTATGCCATTAAATGCCAGCAATGCCCAACTGCCATGTATATTAGCCAAACTGGACAATCTCTACGGGAAAGAATTAATGGACACAAATCAGATATCTGTAAAGGCAATACACAGAAACCTGTTGGAGAACACTTTAACCTGCCTGGACACTCATTAATGGATCTCCAAGTCACCATGTTGTTTCAGGCCAATTCCACAAGCCACATACACAGAGAAGGGTTGGAACTTAACTTCATTTACAAGTTTAATTCTTATACAAATGCAATGAACAGAGACATCTGCTAGCTTACACGCTACCTTCCACATCCTAATGACTTCATCAACCAACCAAACAATGGAGGTGCTAATTGTTCTTATCAGCCTCTTGTAACTACTTGAACAATCTACGGTCTCCTTTTTTTCCTCCTCTTGCCACCACCTCATCTTACTTTATTTATTCTTGTATCTGGACTTCTAATGCTCCAGTCACCTGAGAAGTGGGTTGTGCCCGTGAAAGCTCATGATGTTTTGTTAGTCATTTTCTATATGTTTTGTTAGTCATTAAGGTGCTACTAGACTATTGGTTGTTTTTTAAGTTTTTCCTGTTAACAGACTAACTCGGCTACCCCTCTGAAGCTTTTCATCTATTTAAGTTAGAGCGGGTAAAATAAGATGAAAAAGTTCATCCTCAGTGTTTTAAGAATCAAAAAAATGTAAAAAGATAAAACAGGCAGGTCACAATTCTAGCATTTTTAAGTTTTAAATTCTACATTTCTTCTTTAGCGGAACTGTGAGGTAGGATACAGAATAAAGTTACTCACCCTGTGCAGTAACAAAGGTTTTTTGAGATGTGTCCCCCCAGGGGTGCAGCCCGACTACCCTCAGTTTCTTCGTGTACTCCTTCTAGTGTGGTCAAGCCCAAAAAGAGGGGAGGAGAGTGGGTCATGGAGCACCCACAGGGACACACATCTCAAAGAGCCATCACTGCTGCACAGAGTAATTTCCTTTTCTTTTTTGAGTGATGTCCCTCTATGGGTGCTCCACTGTGGTTGACTACATAACAGTATCCCAAGACAGCAGATGGGGTTCGGCTATGTCTTGTGCATAGATGAAAGGACTGTGTCAGCTAGGGAAGAGCTTGTATCTGCTTGTGTGGAAATTGCGTAGTGCCTCATGAACATCAGGTTGGAAAACCAGGCAGCAGTCCAGCAGATATCTTCGAGTGGTATTCCCTTGAGGAAGGCTGTTGATGCTGCCATCGCTCAAGTGGAATGCACCTTGGGGGGGCGTAAGGGGAGATCTACCTTAGTTGAATAACACTGAATGATGCAGGATATCATCAATTTTGAGATGCGTTGTGAGAAGAGTAGCCTTCCGCTGGCACACTTTGCTAGTGAGACAAATAGTCTGTGATTTGCAGAATGGGCAGGTACCATCTTTGTAGAACAATAGTGCCCTTTTGATATCTAGTGTATGTCAAAATGGCCCGTCTCAGGAAGCATGAGGCTTTGGACAGAAGGTAAGGAGAACAATGGGTTCATTGATATGGAAATCCAAACAGACTTTCAACAGGAAGGGAGGGTGGGGTCAGAGGATGACTTTGTCTTTGTGAAAAATGGTGTATAATGGTGATGCTTTGAGACCAGCAAGCTCATTAACTCACCTTGCTGATGTGATGGCCAGTAAAAACACCATCTTTACTGTTAGTAGGTGGAGTGTACATTTGGCCATCGGCTCAAACGGCAGTCTGGAAAGTGCTTTAATTCCAAATCCCAGCAGATTAAGACTGTGTAGGCCTTCGAGAACACTCATAGGCTACGTCTAGACTACAGGCTTCTTTCGGGAAATCTATTCCGAAAGAGAGCGTCCAAAATGCAAAACACATCAAAAAAGTGATCTGCTTTATCGAAAGAGAGAGTCCAGACTGAATGGATGCTCTCTTGCATGTAAGCTGTGATTGCTATGGATGGAACGGCCACCAGGGTACCTGTACTTTTTCCTCTTTCCTCTTCTTCCGAAAGAACTCCCTCTTCCCCATCCACACACGCCTTTTTCCGAAAAAGCTCTTTCGCAAAAAGGCTTTTTTTTTTTAGAGAAAGGGGGTTTCCAATGCTGGAAAAACACCTCTGTTCTTTCAATTTTCTTGCGGAAGAATGCAATTACAGTGTGGACGTTCCTCAAGTTTTGTCCGAAAAATGGCCATTTTTCCAACAAAATTCTGTATTTAGATATACCCTTAGAAATAGGGTGACCAAAACCGAGAAACCGGCAATCACTGTGCGTGCAGCTAGGTGCACCGTGCATCATAAAACTGACAGACCATGTTGTTTCAGGAACATAATGTAGTCAAGGACTTTGTTAAGAGGTGCAGCGAATGGGCTGAGTCCTGTTACTCACACACTAGGCTGTAAAGCAGTTCCACTTATATAGGAGGAGTGTGACATCTATTGTGAAGTAAGACTTTTTTACTTGTTGCAAACATCTCTGCTCTGCCTTTGAGAACCAGAGAGAAATCATGCTGACAAATGTAGTGTTTGCAATTGCGAGTGGAGAAGAGTGCCCCTGTTTTGTGATAAGAGATCTAGAAGTTTCAGAAGTGGGGAAGGAGGTCGGAGAGACATCTGATAGAGATAGGGAAACCAGGTCTGCCTGGCCCACACTGGGGCTATGAAGATGACTAAGGCATTGGCCAACTGTATCTTGTGCTAGACTTTGGGGATTAGCAGGATGGGAGGAAAGGTGGAAAGGAGGTGAGTATTCTATGAGATAAGGAAGACATCTCTGAGACATCTGGGTCCTATGCCCGCTCTGGAACAGTACTGTGGTCACTTGATGTTTCCACAATATGCAAAGAGGTCTATGGACAGCCAACCCCATTGGTGGAAGCTGTTGTGTAGGTCTCTGGTTTCAATTTCCCACCTGCAATAGTATTCTTGACTCCAGGTAGGTATGATGTGGTGATGTTAATGTTATGTACACACCAGTTCCACAGACACATCGCTTCTGCACAAAGGGATCAAGATCAGGCATCTCCTTGCCAGTTGATGTAAAACATGGTGGATACGTTGTCAGTGAGGATGCATATCGTGGAACTCTGGATATGATGGAGACAATGTCTTCAGGCATTGCAGACCTCACGGAGCTCCAGGAGATTAATATGGAGCACGGACTTGTGGGTGTACCATTTGCCCTGAACATGGTAATGGTTGCAATGAGCATCCCCACCAAGGAGCAAAGCACCTGTGGTAATATGGATGGATGGACTGCACCAGATGGAATGGGACACCGGCAAGAAGGTTCTGTGGATCTGTCCACCAATGTAATGACAATAGGATCTTCTGAGGAATCGGTACTTGTCCATGTTCATGGTGTTCGGCCAATGTGTACATCGAGGCAAGCCAGTGCTAAAGACAGCAGAAGTACAAGCATATATGGGGGACCACATATGTGGTAGTGGCAATGTGGCCCATGAAACGAGGGAAAGTTAGTATTGAGACCAGTACTTAACATCATGATCAAGATCAGACTTTTTATGGCGTTGAACTGCTGATTCGGCAGGTATGCTCGTGCAGTTGTAAAATCAAGACACACTCCTATCAATTCTATGGATTCAATGGGGCATACGGTAGATTTCTATTCATTGATAACAAGGCCAAGGGATTCGAAAACCCCTTTTGTGAAAAGAAGTATATCCCTTGTGGCTTGCTGGGAAGGGCCTCAAATGAGGCAATCGTCCAGGTAAGGAAAAATCATGACACTTTTGTGGCTCAGGTATGCTGCGACTACTGACATGGTCTTGGAAAAGGATCTGGGTGCAGACGAAAGACCAAAAGGAAGAACTCTGTATTGGAAATGGCCTGAAGTGACCATAAAGTGAAGGAAGCGTCTGCATGCCAGGTGAACGGTTATGTGAAAATAAACATCTTGGAGGTCAAGGGCTGCAAACCAGTTTCCTTCATCCAGTGCCAGGACGATTGTCACCCATGTGACCATCTTGAATTGCTGTTTGCAGAGGTATTTGTTTAGATGATGAAGGTCGAGGATGGACCTCCAACCACCCATCCATTTTTCTGTAAGGATGTAATCTGAGTAAAATCCTCTGCTTGGGCACCTTCTCTATGGCTCCTATGTGAAGGAGGTGGTGTACTGCTTGACAAAGTAGCTGTCCATAAAGAAAGCTGAAGAGGGACAATGGGGGAGGAAGAAGGGAGTTTGGTGGAACTGAAATGAGGGGTACAGAACAACTGGACTTGATGATCTCTAGGACCCAGCACTCCATGGTAATTGCTGCCAACTGATTATAGTAAGGGTGTAAACCGTGATAGAATGTGGCTAATTCAGAAAGTACTGGTGGAATGGAGAGGTCATGCAGGCCACCAACCAAAGTCTCAAAGCTGCTGTCTGGAGGCCTGTTGTTTGGACAAGCAGATGTTAGGGGCCCACCACACTGGTTCCTTGTCCTGGAATGGTTTTGGTGGAACAGTCTTTGCTTTTGCTGTTGGACAAATGAAAAGTCTCTGTCTCTGATAGGGAGTGTACCATCTTGTACCATCTCCTATGGTGTGTACATCCCTAAAGTTTGCAAAATGATCTGAGAATCTTTGCTGAAATGAAGCATTTCATCCGTATGTGCTGCAAAGAGTTTGTCCTTATCAAATGGTAGGTCTTCAACCTGGGTTTGCAGCTGTTTGGGGACACCTGCTGCTTGCAACCATGATGAATGCCTCATTACTATAAATGTAGCAGTAGCCCTTGCTGCGGTATCAGTGGAGTCTAGTGCCATTTGCAGCACTGAGTGGGATGTATTGTAACCCTCCTACACTATAGATTTTAATATTGGCCTTTTATCATCCAAGAGATGTTGCATTAGTTCCATCAATGTAGCATAATTATCAAAATCATAATTGGCTAACCGTGTCATGTAACTGGTCATATGAAACTGCAAGGTCAAGGAGGAATACATTTTCCTGACAGACAGGTCTAAGTGTTTATGGTCCTTATCATGAGTGGCAGATTTAAATCGAGGGTTCTTGGATCTATGCTGTGCAACATCTACCACTAGGGAGTTTGGCTGAGGGTGAAGAAACAGAAAATCCATATCCTTGAGGGTCTAAGGTATTATCTATCAGCCCTCCTATTGGTCAGCGGGGCTGTGGCTGGTGTCTGCCAAACCTCATCCACTGCTTCCATAATTGCTTCATCTATGAAGAGCAATTTTAGATTTTGTGCCAGGTTGGAGGTTCTTTAAAAGCTTATGTTGTTTCTCTCACACCTCTATTAATACCACTTCTTGGCTGGTAGCGACCCTTTTGAATAAGTCCTGAAATTGCTTCAAATCATCAGTTGACGATGAGTCATCAGGAATAACTGCTTTGTCTGGATGGGATATATCAGTTGGTAAAATGTGAAGTTGCTCAGCATCAGGATGATCAGCTATTTGCCCATGTCTGGATCCTACTCCGTTGGCGAAGGAGAAGTATGAGAATGGAAGGGGGGTATTGACCTCTGGGATGGGGTTGATGGTGCAGTTGACCGGTGCCGTGGTGGCATCCAGTGACGGTATGGGGACCAGCGATGTGGGTAATGACCATGGAAGGACCATTCCTAATACCACAGAAGATGGTGAGAGTATCGTGAGCAGCGTCTTTCATGTGGTGAGAGAGTCGGGTTGGAGAGGAGTCTTGAGAAGAGAATACGTTCCTACAATCCTCATCATAATCACTGTAATGAGAAAGTACAGGTGATTGTGGGGGATGAGGAGAGCTAAAGGGTGATAAGGGAGATTGATGTCTCCCAAGGTGGTCGTATGGAGATCTAGTCTTAGTTCCAGATCTCGCACCGGTACATTGTGTCCTTGAGAGTGATCAGAAGGATAATGACAGCTCGATGGAGGCTCCTGCGGTGCCGGTGAGGATGGCATCAACTCCAGGCTCAGGATGTGAGGCAAGGACTTGGCAGATTTAGATCTGGCCTTCATTGGCACCAAAGTCTTAGTCCGTGCTGGTAGTGCCAGAATCTTGTCCAGTTCCATGGCTACTGAGCTCTTCAGTGTTGGGGTCCTTGGTGCTGGGGTTTGATCGTGATTTTGGTTTTGTTACCGACACAGCGCAGGGACATCCTGTGCCACAGGTACCTGGACTGTCTCCCATACTAACTCGAGGTGGTAGGGAGAGCGCTGGAGAAACCCTTCTTTTAAGCCAAGGGCTTTGGTGAAGGGGTGTTTGGGGTCCTCTGAGCAGTGGCTTTGTCCTGCTGTTTGGTGCCCTCCTTGTTTAACTGAGGCTCGAGGACTTTGTCAAATAATAGCATGTGTAGTCTGAGCTCGATATCTTTTCGAGCCCTGGCCATAAGACTACAGCAATGCACACACTTCTGGGGAACATGTGCTTCTCCCAGGCAATGTATGCAAGACCCATGGCCATCGGAGGCAGGCATAAGGTCACGGTATTCTTCACATTTTTTAATCCAGGAGAGCCCGGTATTCTGTTGAGTTCATTTCTTCCTTTTTCTTTTTTCTTTTTTTTTTTTTTAAAATGACTGAGCCGAGGCTTGTGGCCAGCAAAGCTGGCGGAGTGCCACCTCAGGAATTGCATCTTAACTATTTACAATGATAAACTCAATATATAACTCTATATCCAGCTTTATATATTTAAAACTAACTATTTCTGACTATAAAAAACAAAAACAACAACTTTTGAAATAATTTTAGCTCTATTCCTGTCTATAGATGACTGAAGAGGAGAGGGATCGGGCTCAGTCTGCAGCAGAGGATGGCAACAAAGGAACTGAGGGGAGTAAGGCCATGAGTATGAACTCCAAAGGCATGAACAGTACGCTCCCTCCCCAACACATGCGTGGCCCAACTGGATACTGCTAGAAAAAAGACTCTGATCAGTATCACCAGAATGAATCCAACACCAACAGTGGAGCACCCACAGCGACATCACTAGAAGAAAAACATTTGTTAAAATTTCACTCACCTGAGGGAATGGTTCTGCTGATGCTAGTAGTACATTTTCTGGTTTTAAATCACAGTGCACAATATTCTTGAAATGTAAATTCCTCAAAGCAACAAGTATCTATAAAAAAGGAAAGGTATTTTCAAAATAAGGAATGCAAGTGTCTAAGCACCAAAGATCAAACATACGAAGTTGTACAATAATCCAGAACTGTACAGATTTCCACAATTTTGTTTTGTTGTGCTTGCATATTGTGCAAGTGCTATTTTTGCTTTGCTGATCAAAAATCATAATTATTGTTAATTTTGTTTGGGAAGGACAATCTTTGATTATTTTACATCATATATGCACCTTTATGAAAGCTTAATTTGGGGCATCTCCTTTAAAACAACTAATTATATCTCTAAAGTAAAAAGTGAAAATTCTCACTTAGGATAAGAATCTGAATTCTTGTCAGTTCAACTTTCATTACATACAAAGCCTGCTATTAAAATTTTGTCTTCTTTACATAATTATTGAATCTAGGTAATACCTTGGGCCAAATTCTACTCAGACTATGGATATAAAATCCTGTTTAATTGGTTAATCAGTTAAACATACTGTTTAACCAGTTAAACAATTAAAGGGAAGGACAAGCAGGAGGGTCCATCCCGGCCTGCAGCCCCTGCCTACGAGGCCACCCAAATCCTCTCTGGATAGAGATCTGGAGCAGCCCCTACCTGCAGAGTGCCTGAGTCTGCCAGAGCAGCCCCTGTCCATAAGCAGGCCTCCCATGGGACTGGAGCAGCCTCCTGCCCATGGCAGGTGGGGAGCTGCTCCAGCCTCCACCGATTAATCATGACCGGTAAGCCTCACCCATTATCGATTAAACATTCACATCCCTAACTCGCACCCATGTAAGAAACCAAAATCTGGCCCCTTGTCCTCACAGAAGCAAATGGAGATGGAATACCAACCTGGGTAACCATGAACTTAGTGATTCGTTCTGGCAGCCGACTTTTCTCACTAGAAAGAATCATCTCCAGCATATCTCCATGTAACTTCTCCATCACAACGAATACCCGTTCTGGGGTTTCAAACATACATTCCAGGTTAACAATCCCAGGGTGGTGCAAATTCTAGAGAGTTACAGCATTCACATGAAAAACAAACGAGATATAACACTGATTTAACATTAGGAAAATTACATTTATACTGAGCTACAAAATCGGAAAGCATATATAAATGAAGAGTTAGGAATTAGAAAAGGGAGTTACTCACCTCGTGCAGTAACGAGTGTTCTTCGAGATGTGTTTCCCCGTGGGTGCTCCACTCTAGGTGAAGGGTCGCCCTGAGCCGCAGATCGGAGCTTTTCAAAGCAGTTTTCCCCCTGTTGAGCCACGCATGCCCAGAGGGCGTCTCGAGCCCTTCCCGCCCTCTGCAGCGCGCGGCTCACCCCCCTCCCTTTCAGTTCCTCGTCTCCGCCCGAGTAGTTTAGACTCCGTGCAGAGGGGAGGAAGGGAGGGTCGTGGAGCACCCACGGGGACACACATCTCGAAGAACACTCGTTACTGCACGAGGTGAGTAACTCCCTTTTCTTTTCAGTTCCTCGTCTCCGCCCGAGTAGTTTAGACTCCGTGCAGAGGGGAGGAAGGGAGGGTCGTGGAGCACCCACGGGGACACACATCTCGAAGAACACTCGTTACTGCACGAGGTGAGTAACTCCCTTTTCTTCTTCGAGTAGTGTCCCCGTGGGTGCTCCACTCTAGGTGACTACAAAGCAGTGTTCAATATATGGCTGGAGGGAGCCGGAGTCAATGTTTAGCGGTGGTAGAGAGCACCGCTGTAGCTACTGCTGAGTCCTGTGTAAGTTGCGGTAGGATTGCATAATGTCTGGCAAACGTGTGATCTGAAGACCACGTTGCTGCTCGGTAAATATCCCTTAAGGGGACATTGTTCAAAAAGGCTGTAGAAGCGGCCGTGGCTCGAGTGGAATGCGCTCTTGGGGGGCACTGTAGTGGTTTATTGCCCAAGGTATGACACTTGACTATGCATGTGGAGATCCATTTTGAGATTCGTTGTGATGACAGGGGTGTTCCCTTAGAACGCTCAGCGATTGATATAAAAAGTCTTTCGGATTTACGAAATGGTTTTGTTCTTTCCAGGAAGAAGGCGAGAGCCCTCCGAATGTCCAGGGTATGCAGAGTGGCGTCCTTCTGTGATGCATGCGGTTTCGGAAAA